TGCTTAGTTTTTTACACCTTCTTATTATTGTATTATTTTACACGCTAAAAGTATTTATCAGTAACAGATTTTCTCCAAGGATATTTCCAACAATCCCCCAACCAAAAGAAGGGGGCCTGAGGGCAGAGCCCCCAGCGAGCCTAAGGCAAGTGTATAAGTATAACACTAAACTTAACACTATTTGAAACATCACGTCAATATATTTTACCAAAATTGTATAACTTGGTACATGATAATTTAAAAAACATTGCCAATCCAAAAATAATTCAAATAAATGTAAAGACTGGTATCTGACCATACACATTTTAATCTTAAATGAACTTTTAAGTGAAAATCGGTGAGATTATAGCGATTTACATTACAAGTGTAGTAAGAGCGTTTTTACATCACGCAGGTGAATGTTATTCACCGAAGTGATGTAAACACGCTCTTGCGTAACGTGTAACGTACAAGATTTTACCTGACCCGACAATATCCAGGAGGTTACGAGCAATATGCTTCATTATCAATTTCACTCATCTTCTAACAGTAACCAGTTTGGACTCTTTCCCATTCAGGTAAGCCTGCTATCCTCTCAAAAAATCTAGGCCCTTGTGCTCTATGCTACACCCTTAACCCCATACCTTAAATGCCTATGTAATAGTCCATAATAAGCCTGTATTAAAGAATGCTGACATCACGTCAATATATTTTACCAAAATTGTATAACTTGGTACATGATAATTTAAAAAACATTGCCAATCCAAAAATAATTCAAATAAATGTAAAGACTGGTATCTGACCATACACATTTTAATCCTAAATGAACTTTTAAGTGAAAATCGGTGAGATTATAGCTATTTACATTACAAATGTAGTAAGAGCGTTTTTACATCACGCAGGTGAATTTTATTCACCGAAGTGATGTAAACACGCTCTTGCGTAACGTGTAACGTACAAGATTTTACCTGACCCGACAATATCCAAGAGGTTACGAGCAATATGCTTCATTATCAATTTCACTCATCTTCTATCAGTAACGTTCATTTACAAACAAAAGCTAGGTTAAGAAAATTCTTCAAAGAATAATAATAAATTCAAATACACAGCTGATTTCTAGCGATGAACGTCGTTGGCTCCATAGAGTTATATTTTTTAAGTTATCCACTCAATGTTATTTAAATGGGTTTCATTACATCACCGAGTGAGTTTTTTTCAACTTTACATCACTCGAGAAGTAAGGAAGTTGTATACATCACGCTTGGGATAGGGAAGTTTAACATGGCGGGTTAAGTAAAGTATTATACTGCACTCACAATATTAAATGTCCAGTCATTTTATGATGTAACTCTGCATTTGGTAAATAAATATCAAACAACTGGTAGTGCTCAGTAGAAAAGTATTAACCTTTTACAGGAATAGACATAATCAGAGCATACTTTACAAAAAAAAATCAACCCTTATAAAGACTGATTTTAAAGACTCACAAAATCAAAACTATCTTATTGGTTCTAATGTCATATAATACAGGTTTTGTACTCAAGATCAATAAGATTTATACTACAGGTTAATAGCTGCCCTTTTACATTAAGATACAGTGTGAATGAATATTCATTCATATATATATAGTGCATATAAGATAAACTGAAACTGTGTTTTTTGAATTCATACTATTGGCAACACTGACTCAACAACTCACTGGCCACCATTTTGGACATCTAGAAAACTCTCTTCCTTAGTTGAAAATGCTGTCAGTGACAGTTAAATATTCTAATGTTTTGTGTATATAGTGTAAAGTTTTGTTTTGTGTTTCCTGTGCCAGTTTGGACTCTTTCCCATTCAGGTAAGCCTGCTATCCTCTCAAAAAATCCTAAAAAATCTAGGCCCTTGTGCTCTATGCTACACCCTTAACCCCATACCTTAAATGGCTATGTAATAGTCCATAATAAGCCTGTATTAAAGAATGCTGATTCAATTCACCACACAAACGTTTCATAGCAAATATACTCGAACTAAGTCTCGCCCTTACCAAATGAACATGATATTGCCAATTTAGAGTAGTACTAGCTGTAACCCGCGGGCTTTGCCCCGTTTAACTTCTTAATTTTCAAGATGATCTCGTTCGCATGGCTCAATCACGTACTGGTTGAAGTTCGTTCGCTAAGCTCACTCACCTTTAGGTTGGAGCTCGTTCGCTGCGCTCACTTGCCTTCAGGTTAACTCGTTCGCTACGCTAACTCGCCTCCAGGTTGAAGTTCGTTCGCTACGCTCACTCACCTTTTGGTTGCAAATTAGCTGTTGTCATAAATGTAAAAGAAATAATAGTGCTGCACCCTGTTGGTAATCCTTGTAACTTTAATGCTATTGAACATCATAGAACAGAACCAACTTGTTTAATTAATTGAAACAGCTGTTAAGATTCATTAATTCCATTTCTCATAAGGTTAACATGCGAAACTCCAGAGCCACTGGGGCGGAGCCGATTGGACGGATCACGAAATTGATGGTGTATAAACCTATTCCATGAAATTCTACACGTATGTGCCAAGTTTCGTGGCCATCGGTCCAGCGGTGTCTGAGTTTATCACTGCCAAATATACCAACATCCTCTTTTATACTTATAGATCAAAAGTTAGTCCCAAAAACTTTGGATGCAGATTTTCATTTGGCATCTCAGGAATTTCTATAAAGACTAAATACTACAGTTGATGTTTTATCTTTATTTAGAATTAAATTATTTGCTGTGAGCCAGTTCTCAACGACATTTTACCATTTTAACGACAGTTCTCAATAATCTATTACCGTAGCACTCATGGTAAGACCTGGACCCGGGACCGATTTACTTTTTTGTTTTGAGGTCCCTAGAGACCAAAAACACCATCCGTTCAAATTCATATATATATATATATATATATATATAGTTATATTTATATATGTGTCCGTTAGCGCGATAACTCGAGCAAAAATCATCCGATTTTGATGAAATTTGGTACAAACGTGTAAACCTACATTTATTCAAACGAGTTCGCGAACCAGCATGATCGGACTATGGGAACAGGGGTTTATGGGGGGTTTTATGGGGTAAAAATTGGTTTTTCCAATTTTTTACACTAAAAACTTAAAATTTAGCAATTTCTTTCCAAACCATTTTGTAGAGCTTAAAAAAACAAATAATTTAGTATATTGAAGCGTTATTATGCGCCTAATGGTTACGGAGAAAATTCCAAAAATCTGTAAATTTAAAATTCCCATGTTATTCTTATGGAGAATAAGTAAACTGTTGTAGTTTGCTTGTTTATGAACATATTTTGGTCAAATTTGGAAAATGCATTAATTTTGTACTAAACTATTACATTTTACAAAAAAAAAACACCTTTTTACCCTCCCTGTTGCAGCAAACCTAAGTACTCGTTAAACTAATGTTAATTTAAATCCTAGGGAATGAATGTGATATTTTTAAGGAGAAATTTTAGTGTAAATCCAATCAGGTAAATGGAAATTTGCTTAGTCTGCAGGTTTGCTGCGGCGGGGATATTTTTTATCTTACAAGTATTTATTCTATCCACATATTTAAATATTATTTTCTACTTTTGGTGCGTCTAAAAACGTGGTATTTAAAAATGTGTTTTTTATTTATAAATTATTTTCTACTTTTTAGTTTTCAATGTGTACAAGTATGTTAAATCATAGACAAATAGAATAAAATTCAGAAGCCCATGGAGTGTAGCCCAAGGTAAAAATGAAAATAAATTATTTGATATTGTATTGTCATCTCTTTGTGAGCTATGTCTCAAGTTTCAAGTCTCTAGCTCATCAGGAAGTTAGTTAAAAATCGGGTGCATAATTTGTACCGAACAGACAAGAAAGCGAGCTAATAAAAATGTTTTAAAATGCCACAACATTGTCTATAAGAGCAAATTATGTAATGCTCAGAAATGAAAAGTGAGGAAGCAATAAATATGAAAGCTGTGTCAAAGTGTATGAAATCAGAGGTTGTGGGTCACTGAGAGAACCTTGAAGATGACCTTTTATCAACGTGTGCTCCACTGATAACACACTAGACTGAAATAAATAAGAAATCCTGTCTAGTGATGACTACTATAAACTAGAGTGATATCAATATTATGATTGACCAGTTCAATTTAGTTATTTATTGAAGCATTTTTACAGAATTTTTTGTCTACTTTAAGGTAGGAAAGCTCTAGAAAATGAAAATACTTATAAAGCTTGGGGAAAGTTTAAGAGAACTGATTTAAGATTATTACTGCACAAAGTTCACAGAAAAAAGAATAGTGATAATTTGATCATGAACAAACATAGGACCAATTTAATGAGCCATCAAACAACTTGTGTTTTTTTTTTCTTTTTTGTTGTTTTTTGCCTCCTGATCACAATATAAATTAATTAATCTCCCTCTAAGAGGGCAAACTTTTGTTTGCCAAATTTATCTATAGAGGAAAATAGAGGTTTTGATTCAGTAAGTTAAGTTTGAAGATCTTCCCAAGACTTTAAGTTTAAAAGCAAGCCTTTAAAATAAACTAGCAGTGTTTTAGCAAAATCTGCCATCTACAATTCAAAATAGCAATTCCAGGACCGTTAAATATAGCCCCTGGGCCGTTATGTAGTTGTTTCTAAATGCCTTATTAAGCTAGATGTTTTCAGCCCCCCCCCCCCTTTCCAACTCAATCTCTATCACACCATCAAACCTAATTTATTTTTACTCTGTGGTAGTAAATTTAAGACTTGATCAAGATGGTAGCAACATGATGGACAACATGAGAAAAGTCCAAGGTGCTCATTTGCAAAGTTTTGAGGAATTACTGTGGTCTAGGGCAATAGATTGGTTAGGGGAGTATCGTAGTGGTAGAAGAAATAAGTCGGTGTCCCTAACACAAGTCAGCATCTCAAGGTCCAGTAGGATAAAATAATATAGGCCTAGGCAGTGTACAAGCCGAAAACTGTTTTGGAATAAACTATTGATTTTGTCTACATATACAATATCAACAGACAGCTTAGCTCACCTATAATCAAGGCGATGGGTAGTAGAATCCTCTGCAGACACAGGCAAACTAAGAACCTCCCCATCCTGACTCAGACCTGCAACAGAAATAAAAGAATATAACCAAGAGAAAAATCTAGGAATGCTTTTTACAAATTCAAAAGAAAAGATGTTTACAATTTATTTCCATTTATAGAATTTTGTAATTATAATTTTCAATCACCCCCAACTACTTTTTCTGTCCAGAAGTAGCTACTACTTTTTCTTCTATAATTGTCTTTGGTTTGGGTATACAACACTACTAGGAGTCTACATTTAGCATCCTATTAAGCCTACCTTATTAATTTATTAGGTACCGAGTTTCATCTTTTACTTTCATCTTTTAATGGGTGATTGATGGTATCAAACTTAAAAATTATTGACTTACACATACTTTAGGAACTAGGATCAATTAATTAAAACTTATTTGAACTGCGTTTCATGCATGGTTACAATTAAGTGACCAGATAATGGTTTTACAGTTTAACTTTCACGTAACATTTACATTTTTACATAAAAACAAGAAGGTTGTTGTCCTGCACCTCTGCTATTATTGAAACAGAGGAGAAAACCACAAGTTGTACCTTTGATTAGTGATAGAACTAGACATTCCATCCCTATATGTAAATGTTGACACCAGTGTTTGAATCAAATTGGATGTCCTGTAGTTAAATCGAGCCACCGACAGATTGCGCTGATGTAAATTTACTTATCTAGCCAACTGATTTATGTCAAATAACTTTTTAACCAATCTATTAACTTAATAGGAAAGCATGTTTCTTGAAAACCTTTTTTCTCAGCTCATGTGCATCGCAGGGATCTATGCCTAATGTTAGCAAGATATTTTCCTAGGTAGATGTGCAGAATCCTTTTATAAATTAAAATCGCTCAAAAATAAGCACAAAAAATTAATTTAAAATTTAAAAAAATAATAACATGGGTCTCATGGGTTGCCATGCTGGTGACGAAATAATAGTCCGGCAGATTTGACCCGAACCTGGTTTTGTCCTTTTAAGTTTTTTTTATTGTTGATATGTGATATCTAGGGTATGTAGACCCTAAAACCACCGGGTACTTTTTTGGTACCCTTGGGCAACAGCCGCCATCTTGGAAAATGGCGGGAAACGTAAATTACAGTGTAAGCTTTTACTTAAACCAATGTAATAAAAAACTATTTAAGATGGAACAATGCATGTTATTTTAAAATTATTATTGTTGAATTCCCTGCTCAGAAATACCGTATATTAAATATATATAATTTGTTTTAAGGTCAGTATTACTTTAAAAAGTTTATAATTTATAAAAAAATGATGTCATATTTATTTTTATTTCAATTTTGCGCCTTAATTACTCAAAATATGACTGTAATATATATTATAAAGTTTGAAGAGCTTTAAATTTGGAATCGAATACATCTATGGGATGTTTTGTTGGATCAAGGATAACGCCAGAACAAAGCGTTAGAAAATAATTTTTTTATTGATTTTCAATGAAAAATAAGGATATTTTATATGTTCAATAAAATTGTAAAATCTTTCCTGAGACCATCCGCCACTTCTCTTTGGCTGTTTTTGGTTTTAAAATGTTTGTAAAATTACCAAATTTAATGTTAACTATCAACTGATTATATTTAAGGACTTTAAGGCCGATCATTTCATCTTCACTCCAAAGAAGCAATATTTTTTTCAAAAAGATAAGTTTAAATTTTGACCAAACCAATGAGTTACTATTATTAGAGGTTGTATGTATTGCAATAAAAACACTCAGTAAACAATTGGCATCCATTTGACATGTAGATCACTGAAATCGAACGAGTCGGAGGTGAATTACAAGACTTCAACCAACAAAGATTTTAATGGTTGTATAATTTTCTTTGAAAAAAAGATTGTTACTCGAGAACTGATTATGCGATGTTATGTTTTTTTTTATAAAATACTCAGCAAACTACTGGCTTTCATTTGAGGCATTGGTCATTCAAATCTATCGGGTTTGAAGGGATTTATAGAACTTTAACCAAATAACATTTTAGTTTTTCCAAGATTTGTCTTTAATTAAATATATTATCTCAGGTTATAATTGCGTTATATGAAATGTTATATACTATGAATACTCAGTGAGTTATTGGCTTTAATCCAAGCCATTGACTATTAAAATCGGCTGAGTTGAACATGAGTTGTGGACCCCAAACAATAAAAATTAGATTTTTTTACAATTTATCTTTAGTGATTGTGTCTCAAGTTATTTTTAAGTGATATTGTATGTTGTGGTATGGGATTACTCAGTGAGTTAATGCGGTTCTTTTCAGCTATTATTTATTGCAATCTGACGTGTTTGGGGCGAGTTATAAGCTTAAACGTAAATTAAAAGTTGTTTTTTTTAAACTTTCTTCTGTATTTAAAGACATATTTATCAGCTGCTATGTGTACTATATTATTTGTTCGGGTCTAAAACACTAGGCCAACTTAGAACTTTAATTTGAGACAATTTTCATTTAAATATGTAGAGCTTAAGGTGAGTTGTAGACCTCTAACTAACATTAGGTTTTCAATTTTTAATCACTGTCTTTTATTAAAGATCTATATCTCAAGATCTAAATGAGCTGTGTTATTCATTTTGGTGAAGAAAACTTCAGTAAGCTAAGGGTAAACTCAGATATGAACCTAACCTGGTTTATTCCTATCAAGTTTTGTTTTGTTGCGTTTGATATACACCAGTGAACAGAATTGAAAAATATGTAGTTGCGTGAGCTCAGGCTTACCTTGGACAGTATTTTGTCATTGTGGATATAATACCTGTTTAAATAGAAAAATACAAACTCAAGACGTCAGTGAAGACTACGACAATGTAGAATAATGAGTTAATACCCCCGCTGCAGCAAACCTGACAAATAAGCAAATTTCCATTTGCCTGGATTGATTTTCAATTAATCTATTAAATTCACATTTATGTTAAACGAGTACCTAGGTTTGCTGCTAAAGGGAAACTAATAAAGTGTATTTTTTATTAAAATATTAATAGCTTAGTATAGAATAAATAAATCTGCCAAGTTTGATCAAAATGTATCAAAAAACAAGCCAACTAAAACATTTTACAATATTTTCCATAAGAATAACATGGGATTTTAAATGAACTATTTTTTTAAATTTTATATATATACAAGCTGCTATACCCGTGCTTTGCAACGGGAAGAAAATGTGACCTAGAGAGCTATTAAAGTGGTGCTGATGTGTGTTTTAAAATACAGCAACTCTATGACTTAGTTTAAAAATATAAACTGATTTAAAAGTGTAAACCTACTTACTTTCAAACCTCATCTTTTAATGTTAATAGATCCAAGAGAATATGAAAACTTTAGTACAATATATACTACTCATTAACTGTGGGGTTCCAGACTTTTGCCTAACCCTGTATAAATTACAAATTAATCTTGGAGAAATACTTTACAAAACGTATTATACAACCTTCTTTCTTGAATACCAAACATAACCCTCTTCAATCTATAAAGCGTCACAAACATTTTTTTTTGTAAATAAACAAACACCAGTTCATTGCACTAACCAGCTGTTTTATCAACTAAATTAAATTAAATCATTTAAACTTTGGAAGCATGCCAGGCGTAGCCCTTTGGAAATCAGCCTGTGGGGCAGAGCACTTAGGAAATTCGTCCATATCAATACTTTACGGCAAATCTACACACTCTAAGCTTCATTTTGATGTGCCATATGCCTATATTGTTATTTGGTAAATGGCCTTAACCGTTTACATAAAATTTTATTGTATCACTTTAATAATATAATAGATATATATAAATTTGAGCGAAAGAGTGTTTTTGGCCTCTGGGGACATCAAAATGATGTAAATCGGTCCCGGGCCTAGGTCTTACCATGAGACCTACAGTAATAGCTACTTCCCTATAGAGAAATCGCTAATAGTCACTAAGAAATCGATTTTATTAATTTTGTTAACTTATTGTCTTTTTTCAATGTAACGCTTCAATGTTAACTTCAAAATCGAGTATTAGCCTATTATTACATGCCATAATAATGATGTAAAGAATGTGTCTTGCTAGTAACTTATAGAAGCTCAGGTTTAAATTGGCAAAACTTATATTTTGTTCGCTTATAGGTAACACTAAAACAAGGTCGTATATGATCCGTGTATAATCTGAAGTCTCTTCCGATAAGAAATGATTTCCGTTTTCAAAGGGCTTCGACAATGGCAACGGCTTCTTTTTCAACAGCTGAATACAGCTTCTCAGATTTGTTTAGAGTCCATGAGAAAAAAGCAATTGGCCGATTATCTTGACTCAAAGTTGCTGCCACGGCTATGTCAGATGCGTCAGTCTCCACTACCAGTGGCTCTTGCCCATTCCTAGGAGTAATTACTGAGTTTGCAATGTCAAGTTTGAGGGCTTCAAAATCTGCAACCGCTTCCTGTGACAAAGGAAAAGAATTGACTTGTGTCAGGTTTCTTATTTTATCAGAAAACCGATATATCCATTTTGAATAGTGAGCGAAAAATCCTAGGACTCGCTTTAGTGAAACTTGGTCTTTGGGCACAGGAAGTGACAGTAGAGATTCTAGCCGATCTGGATCGGGTCGAATAGAGTTATGGGAAACTAAATGTCCCAACAAGGTTATTGAAGTCTGGTTGAACTTGCTCTTTTCGTTGTTGATTACAAGTCCATACTTAGTTACATCATCTATAAATGTTATTAGATTCTCATCATGATCCTTTTGATCCTTTCCACATACGGTCAAATCATCCAGATAGGCATTCACTCCATTCAGTTTTTTTTTTTTCTAATGATTTGGTCCATGGTCTTTTGAAAACATGCCACCCTGTTGGTTACGCCAAACGGGATTCTTCTGAATTGAAAAAGACGACCAGCAGCCTCAAAAGCAGTGTACTTCTTCTCTTCGTCAGAAATTGGTATTTGATAGTATGCTTGTTTTAGATTAATGGCACTAAAAACCTTGTTCGTCGCTACAGTGGATACTAGATCATCTATGTTTGGTAAGGGATAGGCGTCTAACAGAGTAAATTTGTTTATCGTTTGTGAATAGTCCACACACAGTCGCTTCTTCCCTTTGTCGTTTGTAACAACCAACACTTGTGCACACCAAGGTGACGAACTAGGTTCAATGATCTCCTCAGTCTGTAGTCTTTCCATTTCTTGTTTTATAAATTGCATATCTTCATCTGAGTAACGTCGTGATTTTGTGGCTATTGGCTTACAATCTGGAGTTAAATTGCAGAATAGTTTGGGTGGTTCAACTATGGCACAGGAGCACACCAACAGAGGAGGTTTCTTACCTCCAAACCAAACCTGTATGTTTGAGTGGAGTTTCATGATAGCATGTCTGATAAGCACGTCAGTACAAAGATCTTCAAAAACAGTCAACTTCAAATTGTTGTAATTGTGATTCAAAAGATTTAGGTCGATTTTAACAAACCCGTGGACGTTTGATTTCATATTAGAAGCAGCTAGTGATACTTGTCCACTTTCATTATACATTTTAATTTTGTTTAACTGAACAAACTTCAAGTTTACAAAGCTTGATGTACTCCCGGTGTCTATTAAGCAATTTGCTTTCAGGCCATTCACTTTAGCTTCAACTGTAGAGTCCTTCAATACAAATGTATTATGTGTTGTTGCTATTTGTGCAGCTGATGTACTAGACGTCTTCTGTTTTACTTTAAAATGTTGAGTTGGATTACTTTTACAGACTCTCGCATAATGCCCTGTCTTGTTACATTTCCCACAAGTTGCTTCTTTGGCTGGACAGCGATCTCTAGAGTGTCTGTCATGCCCACAAAAATAACACTTGCCATCAACATTTTTAACAGCGGAAACAGTCGCTTCTTCCTTTTGTTGTAGTGGGAATTCGTACTGACAAGCTTGCTTTGCCAATTCATTTGTTGCACAAGTTTGCATTCCGTACATAGATTTTGGATGGCTCTCGACTTGAGCTTGAGCCATTTCAAGAGCTCTAGACTGTTCCACTGCTTCAGCTAGGTCTAAAGTTTTATTTTCAAATAGTCTCTGCCGTATGTATGACGAGGCTAAGCCAGATCAGATCCTAAGCCTATCAGATTTTATGCATCTTGATAAAAGCATCACGAATGTAGTGATCCCTGTATTGAATCGCATTAACAGCTTCAAAAACGCAATCTTGGCTCAAAAGTTTCAGTTCCGACACATATTTGTCAATAGTCTCACCTTGTTGCTGTTTTCTAGTCATTAATAAATATCTTGAGAATATTTCATTCTTTTGTTTGATGTAAATTGAGTTAAGAACTCTCAAAGCGTCTTGGTAAGTTTCAGATTCCTTGATAAATCTATAAGTAGTAAAAGATAATCGATTAGTTAGTAGTTTCAGTTTGTCCTTGTCTTCAACGAATTCTGTCATGGTTAGAAAGTCTTCGAATGTTTGTAACCAGTGCGTCCATTCCTCTGAGGCACTTGGAGATTCCGGGTCAATTTGCAATTTGTCTGGTCTAAGGAATTTCTCCATTGTAATGTAGCACTAACTGAGTTTATCAATGAATGAATAAAATTGTTGTAAGAAAGGCTTAGTAAACCAAAAGTATGGCTTTTATTCATTCAAAATTACAACCATTTTTTAGTTAAGAACAAATAGGCCTACAATATTTAAAAACAAATCAAATAATAAATATTATCAGGTGATAATGTTCACATCACCACATGGACACACCAAAATTACAAAAAACACAAACTAGCCTTTATTAATCTTGTAATTTCTCCTTTCAACTCGAAACGACCGGCACTACAATCCTGACGTACACCCCGAACTAGTCTCTAAAACCAACTGACTCTATCGACGCCAGGCTTGCCACTGTCGTACTCCAAAGCTGCAAATTTTTCCCTAAGGGTCGTGACTTCAAATCGAGGGATTTAGGTGTGTCCCCCGATTTGACGTCACGACCCTTAGGGTCATGGTAGGTAGTCAGTTTACAATGAAAACAAAATTATCATATGCTCCTTTTTCTTAACTATTGATGTACCCGGTAATAAAAATATGACATTATGTATTTCGGCATGAATAATTATTCTAAAAACAGCATGAAAGTTGCAAAATGTACCCTAGGGACACGTGACGGTCGTGAGTTTTGAGACTTTAAAAATACGAAAAAAAATACCTAGAACCTATTTAAAGCCAAATAATCGTGTAGGCCTACCATGTGGCCCCCGTCCCAAAAAGTATTAAAACACATAATAATAAACTACATATTCAGTACCGGTACCTTTCTACGAAGTAAAAGGCCAGGGACATAAAAACGTGCATTACAAAATTTTCTCTCATTAACTTAACTTAATTCCTTGTTTATTTATATATACTTAGTGGTCAAAAACTCGACCAATTATATGTAATTTACCCGGGCATTGAATATTGGATAGGCTATTGAAGTAAGTTAGATATTCCACCTATATGGACCAGTTGTCAAACATTTTTTTTATTAAAAACATGTAGTTGTGTGAACCAGTCACAGTAAGCGTCTCTAAAATTATATTAGGCCTATATCTTATTTTTTTGTTGCTGACAAAGTTGATAGGTCATAACAGTTAGTTGCTATAGCCTATAACTTAGGCCTAGCTTTTAATAAGTCATTCTATAAGTTTGACTTGGTAAAAATCACTGTGACGTATTCGAGAGAAATTAGTCATTTAGATCAACGCAATCTGTTGGTGGCCCACATTAACTACGACAAACTTGATTAGGCCTAAAACTGGCGACAACTTTAACATGGGGATGGAATGTCTATTGCAAGCCAAAGGTACAGGCTATTTTCACCCCACGCTGTAAATAAAAAATGTGATTGTAATTTCTTCTATTTGTTTTGATTTTCTGTTTATATATCGTTGTTATTTTGTCACCTCAGCATGGCAACCCATAAACCCCATGTAAATCTTTTTTAAATTTCAAATTCATTTTTTGTGCTTATATTTGCGCCTATTTTAATTTTTAAAGAGATTCTGCAATATCTTTTGAACAGTATGCGTAGAGTTTCCCTGCGATGCACACGAGCTTAAAATAAAGGTTTTAAAGAAACATGCTTGCCCATTAATATAATATAGGCTAGATGATGATATTTCTTTACCAAAGACTGAATACAAGATGTAGGCCTATATACAAACAATTATTGACTTGTATTGTTGGCCCTACCTATGACACATGTAAAAGACGAATAAATGTCTTACCTATGTCTTATGTGGAATAGATTTCGCTGAATACAACATTAAAACACTATAATATACATATTAGGCCTACTTACGGTATACATTGTACAAAAGAAACTACGGTAGGCTAACTAGGCTGTGACGAAATATGAATTTTGGGGGGGTCTCTCACATAACTTCTAACTTAGGGGCTCTTCACTCAGCTCTTCCAGCGAGTAAAGTGGCCTTTTTAACAGGCCGTTTTAAAGATATTGTGGTCATTTTCTGCACTTTTTTTCTTGCACCTTTCATTTCCTCTTTTATTAGGGTGTTAAAAAGCCTTAAGATATGGCACTTTGGGGATTAACTCTTTTAAATTATCTCCTGGCATATCGAGGTGTAGGGCTTGCTGAGTGCAATATCTCTTTAAACTTTTAAAGTGAAGTTCTATTTTGACAAGCAGATGGACATTCTCTTTCAGTAAGTTAGTGTAAGGATGTTCAACACATAAGTTAAACTGGCTAAAAACATGGTAGGGCCTAGTCTAAGTTAATGCAAGTTATTAACACAAGGTAGGCCAAACTTTTGCTGTGTAGTAAGTACCAGTAGGCCCTACGGTATTTGATGAATTATTATAGAATAAGTTAGCTAACCTACACCTAAAAAAATAAGGTAATTATTCCGTATAGGTGCCTCCAAACGAATTTTTAATTTTGATATCTTACTTTATATAGTTTTTTACCTCCTGAATCCAAATATAACATTATTTTTCACAGCTGATGAATATTTCTCAAGGTATCGCCATAATAATATACAACATACAATAAACAAGGTAGGATGGATGACATTTACAGTACAAGTGGAATGAACTATGGGTTAAGTAAGCCAACAGCTGATTGTTTTCAATCATAGTCAAGCAAATGGAAGTGACAACTTTAGTTAGCTAACTCTGATTCTGCAATACAGTAGAACCCCTCATATCCAGCCACCACGGGACCAAGCCCCTGGCCGGATAACGATTTGGCCGGATAAACCAACCTACTATGAAAATGACCATTGATCTAATAATATTATTTAATCAATATATGCAGTCAAAAGTATCATTCAAGTCTGTTCTGGGATTATTTTTAGAAGAATAAACATGTTTATAACTTAAAAAGAAAAACAAATTATTTGTAAGCTAAAGTCGTTAAGTAATGATAGTATACAAATACTATGATTCCAGGTAGGCCTACAAAAAATATTAAACAATAATGGAGGTAAAATGACAATGAATTGGACCGACTTGGAAGATCATTAGGACTTAAATGGTACATGCATTTATAAGTTACTCAACTTTCTTATCCACTTTGTGAAATACAAAAATTAATGTACCGGTACAGTACTGTACTGTAACCCCACTTTGGAAAATAATCAACCAACTGTTCAGAGGTTAGTCCTACTAGCTCAACTGAGTATAGTGACACAGAAAATAAATTATAAACAAACAGATAAATAGTGAGAACAATTCATTTTATGACTTTAGTAAACGCAAAGTGCTTGCATATAAACCTCTGTAAGATGTGAGAAACACATTTTCTTATTGGCTTCCTGGAAGGGGCCGGATAAACAGAGGACCGGTAAAACCAAGGCCGGATATGAGGGGCTCTACTGTATGAAAATCACCTGATTACGTTACACTTTTCACTTTCTAAGACCAATAAGTTAATGTATTGTTGTTACCAGTATTTTATCCTTATTAAGTTAATGATTTATTGATTTATATTCCGCCGTTTGGAAATTACATAATAAAATGGTGCTATTCTAACATAACCTAACCTAACCAAACCTCTAGAATGTAAGCAAACTCCTTTTGATGTCAGAAAAGGCATGTCAGGATGATAGGTCGTGCTTTATGTGGATTGGTGACTGCATTAAGTCCTTGAAGGTAGGTTAGATTAGGTTAAGTTAAAGTTTAGGGTACAATGTATCAAGTTGTTAGTTTATGTCGCCTGCAGACTGTTTTTGTAAAATTAAAATCCAGAAAAAACACTTCAAATTACTATTTCAAAAATGCAAGCATTTTGGAAAAAATAATATTTAAAGTATTTTTCTCAGGATTTTAATTTTACAAAAACAGTCTGCAGGCAACATAAAATAACTTGATACACTATAACCTAAACTTTACCTTCCTAATCCAACCTAACTTCAAAACACTTAAAAGGCTAAGGTAATGCAGTCACCAATTCACATGCAGCACGACCCTGACATGCCTAAATAAAAACTACATGTAATTAGTCTACCAGTCCATCTATATCTCCATAATGTGACGAAATTCCTATATAGAAAACATTATTGACTACAGAATCACTTGAAATGTTATCCATCCTACCTTGTTTATTGTAATGTTGTATGTTTTTACGGCGATATCTTGAGAAATATTCATCAGCGGTGAAAAATAATGGTAGCCTATATTTGGATTCAGGAGATAAAAAACTATAAAGTAAGATATCAAAATTAAAAATTTGTTTGGAGGCACCTATACGGAGTAAATACCAAGGCTGCACTTTACTTGACGTCCTACACTCATTCGAATGAAAATATCGATCGATATATCGATTGCTTCATTCGATATATCGTTTGGTTAGTTAGGTAAGGTTAACCTAACCTAACTAACCAAACGATATATCGAATGAAACAATCGAATGAAAATATCGAATCGGAAAAAACAATCGAATTAGTGTAGGACGTCAAGTAAAGTGCAGCCAATACCAAAAATAATTCTCAAAAAATAAAACTAAGTCACTTTAAAGCTGCTGCATTCTTTGATAGAATCTATAGAAAGATTTTGAACATAGTGTGTACGCTTTTTGTACGGGTACCTAATAGGCCTAGCCTAGATATATTTCTTAACAACATTCGTAATTTAGTAACTTATAAAACTTAAAGTTACTGTACTATGCGATTTTCATTTGGGGTTTATGCTTGCCTATGCTTAATCATAGACTGGCCTAAGTTAGAGAAAACTGAACTTAGTCTAAATATATGATTTAAACTATGAAAAGAATTCAAATCCAACAAATAATGAGCTTATTCTAAAAAACTCTGAGTAGGCTACTTAACTAACCTGTTTGCAAAAGTATGTACCGCTCTGACTATTTCAAATCCAAAAACGTGCACATAATGTAAACACAAGCCTAACCTTTTTCCAAATCATCGCTGGTAAAGGTTAGAGTTTGTAACACTACACTCAAACATAACAACTAAAATTTGAAATTCACTGTATCAACGTGCAGCAAAGTACATTATGAACAAAATTAGATATTCAGTTAATAACGAGGTAATTTAACACAAGGAGTGCACTATAAAAACACATTACACAACGACAACGATTGACAGTTCTACCATTCTCGTGGCTCTACCAAAACAAACACAAACCGACAATCGGCAGTGTATGCCGAAAAAAAAAAAAAAAAAATTGACGCAGTTTATCCAGCTATGCTGGTCAACAACGCAGCTTTGGTAATAAGGTAATAAGGTAATAATAAGGAGAGGAGAGAAGAGCACGAGAGACGACTGGACTGAGTCGACTCGACTGACTGACTCTGACTCTGCTGACTGGACTGAAGAAAGAGTGAGTGAAGGACGAGCACAAGACGAAACAACAGCTGACTACAGCTGAGAGCGAGCTGCCAGCTGGAGCTGACACTGACACTGACAGCCAGCCAGACAGCGACCAGGGACCAGTGTTGCCACTCGTTGCCAGACCTAATTCCCGATTTTACTCGCATACACGTAATGAAATCCCCGGGTTTACCCCGGTCATTCGGTAGTAATCGCCGAAAAATATCCTAAACCGGTAAATGTATTCTAAAATTTATGAAAATCACCTTTCTTAGATTTTAGCGAATTTCGCCTATAGGGAAGTAGCTATTACCGTAGGTGGCACGGTAAGACCTAGACCCGGGACCGATTTACTTTTTCATTTTGATGTCCCCAGAGGCCAAAAACACCATTCGTTCAAATTTTTATATATGTATATATATATATATATATATATTAAATATTTAAGTAAATAAGTACAACTGAGAACCCTGAATATTATATTTTATAAAAAGAAGTGACATGTTTCGGACACATATATATATATATATATATATACGTCCATGAACGCGATAACTTGAGTTATTTTTGTCCGATTTTGATGAAATTTGGTTTAAAAGTGTAAAAGCGGGATAAACTTGAATGAGTTCGCGAACCAGCACGATCGGACCATGGGAACGGGGCTTTACGGGGGGTTTTATGGGGTAAAAATTGGATTTTCTCACTTTTGACCCTCAAAACATAAAATTTCCCGATTTCTCTTTAAACCTTTTTAAAGAGCTTAAAAAAACAAATAATTTAGTATATAAAAGTATTTTTGTTCGATTATTAGTAACGGAGAAAATTTAAAAAAATTGTAAATTTAAAATTCCCAGGTTATTCTTAGGGAGAAACACTGCCTATGTTAAACAGAAATGTTAATTACACATTTGCAAATAACTTTAATACTCCTCTTTGTGGGGATGTTGAATCAAATCCCGGACCATGGTAAGACCCTAATTCTGATTGTTCAACAGTTAGAGGGGCAAGACCTGACACTCCAAGCACATCCAGCGGTTTATATAAGACAACGATGGGCAGAGACGAGAGATACATGAGACCTTGTTTTAAGTGGCAAGGTGACGACAGCAGTTTTTTGAGTGAGTCACAGTGCCATGAAGAAGATGTGCTTTTATCAGAAGTGCATGTGACACCGGAATTTACAGATGCTACGTCAGAAATGTCTCAATCATCTGTCGAACCTTATACTTTGCCTCTGTTTGACATAGATAGATATGATTTTTGTCCCAATTGTGAAAAGAAATACACTAAAAGAGCCTTTAAAATTCATAGTAAAAATTGTAAAGGGACTGGTAGAGCTGAAGATTATTTACCAAATACTGACAATAGTGACAATCCACACAATGATAACGCAATTAAAATGAAAAAGAATAAGAGAAGCTGTTTAATCAACAAACCAATTCCACCTAAAACACCTTGTCCTCTAACAAATTCTGAAACATTATATCAACCAAAGCTTTTACAGTTGGATAACTTGAGTGAATGTAAAATTTTAGTAGAATCTTTCAACATAAACAATTCTATAGAAGAACGTCAAATTACCTCAGATTGGAAGTCTCGTTGGGAAAAAATCATACACCTCAATACGACCTACCATGTGGCTCTATAGGTGACGGATTTGTGAAAATGTTAGCTGAAGAAATTTTACTTTTAGCCAATGGTCAAGAATGTTCCGAGCGATTCATATGTTTCATTGCTGTGATATTACAAAAAGAAAAGATGGTAAGACAGGCAAAAGATATTAGAAAATTATTGAAAGAAGACTTGATAAGTGGAATAATAGATGTTATGATGAATTAATAGATGAAGCAATTCGTTGTAATAGGTCCCTAAAATCAAAGAATAAAGCCGAATACAAAGATAATGAAGAGTTCATTAAAACAAAATCCAATATATTGGTTCAAAGAGGAAAAATAAAAGAAGCATCTCGGATTATTAATCAAGACAATAAAGGAGGCATATTAAGTCCTGATACTATAATAGATGGTGATAGACGCACTGTATTTGATATATTGAAAGAAAAACATCCAAATGGCACAATGCCTCATCCGGAATTGCTAAAACTACCCAGCCACATGAAAGAAATACCTAGATTGGAGTCAGTTGAAATCACAGCTGAACATGTAGAAAAAGTTGCATGGGAGTGGAGGGCCAGGCGGGAGTTCTTCTGAACAATGGACAGATTTTTTACTAAGGCATGGTAGAAAAAGTGCTTTCTTAAGAGCGTCAATTGCTGAATTAGCAATGAAGTTAAACGAAGAAATCATACCTTGGTCAAAAATACAAGCTCTTATGGCTAATCGGTTGGTTGCAATCGACAAATGCCCTGGTGTTAGACCGGTGGGTATAGGAGAAGTTCTCCGACGTATCTTAGCAAAATGCATAATTCTTGCAACTGGTGATGAAGTTATTGACATATGTGGCACTGATCAACTCTGTGTAGGATTAAAAGCAGGAATAGAAGGTGCAATACATTTCATGAGAGACCAATATGAAGACAAACGTCAAACTGAAGAAGACAGCTGCATGATAATGGTTGATGCTGACAATGCCTTCAACAGGATAAACAGAGTTCATGCGTTATGGCAGGCAAGAATTAAATGGCCAAGGGCTGCACGATTCATTTTCAACACATACCAGAGTAAGGCTCCACTAATTATGCCAGGAAGTAACAAACAACTGTATAGCATGGAAGGCGTTACTCAGGGAGACCCATTATATCTATGATATTGTATGGATTAGCCACTTTGCCGTTAATTTATGAATTAAAAACCATCCCAGATACAAACCAAGTATGGTATGCGGATGACTCATCATGTCAAGGAAAACTTTATAATGTGATGAAATGGTGGGAGAAATTACAAGAAATTGGGCCTAAATATGGATACTACCCACAAGCTCACAAAACCCGTTTGATTGTAGGATCTGAACCATCAACATTAGACCTAGCCAACATATCAGGATTACAGATTGTTACTGGGAGTAGTTTTTTAGGAGGATTTATTGGATGTGACAAAACAGAAAAGGATTTCTTTATTAAAAAGAAGGTAGAAAAGTGGAATAGTCATTTGGTAAGTCTGGCGAATGTTGCTGAAAAATATCCACAATCTGCACATATTGTTGCCACAAAATCCATACAAGCCGAATGGAATTTTTTTCAAAGAGTTGTTGAAAGTGAAGACATTAATTTTTATCTGATAAAAAACTCAATAGAACAAAACCTATTTCCTGCTTTATTTGGCTGTCATCTAAACCAAGATGAACAAAAAATATTACATCTGCAAGTAAAAAATGGAGGAATTGGTTTAGTTGATCCTACCGCTCAGGGAAAAGCATTGTTCCGAGCTTCAAATAAATGTTGTAAATTCATCATAGACTCTCTAAAAACTAAGAGGAAAATAAGCATGCAAGAACATGAAGAACATTTGGTTATCTCAAAAAAGGACTTGAAAGAGGAGAGAAGATTAGAAGAAGAAAACATTTTGAAATCGACAATTCAAAATCTTCCTCTAAAACAACAAAAAACTATCTTGCGAGGAGCAAATACTAAAGCGAAACATAGTGGATGGCTGTCATGTATTCCATTAAAAAAACTTAATTTAGATCTTTCTCCACTGGAGTTCAGAGATGCTCTTGCACTAAGATATGGCAAAAATCCAATACACCTCCCCTCTTCATGTGATGGCTGTGGCAAAAACTTCAGTATGGAACATGCCCTTAACTGTCGCACAGGTGGGTTGATAATAAGAAGACATAATGAGGTAAGGGATACTCTTGGAAGCTTGATGGAGCTAGCATGGGGAAACTGTGTTCGAGAACAAATGATCTCTGAGCAAGGGTCATTGGATGCTGCAGCACTAAAAGCAGACTTGGCTTGTGGGTGTATGGGAGGTTCAGACGGAAGCATTATTCAATGTACGTGTCGTTGACACTGATGCTCCATCGTACTTGAACCTCCCATACGAAAAAGTTCTGGAGAATGCAGAAAGAGAGAAGAAGAGAAAATATTTAACAGTAACAGACACAAGAAATGCTTCTTTCACCCCACTAGTCACGTCTGTGGACGGAATGCTAGGCAAAGAATTTCAGACCTTGCTCAGAGCAATGGCAGAACGCCTCACAGAAAAATGGAAGAAACCTTACAGTTTAGTGATAAACTGGATAAGGGTGAAAACCATCTGTGCGACGTTAAGGGCCAGCAGCATGTGTCTAAGGAGGACAAGAAAGAAGTGGAGGACACTTAGAGAGTTCGAAGATGGGGCTGGAGTACCAGCTTTTTATTAATCTAAGTAGAAAAAGTGTTATTATTTTTCCATGTCAAAAAATGTAAATGAAGATTGCTTGTTTTGTTTCTTAGGGAGAATTGTAATAAAAATGAAATTGATTACCTGATCAGAACAAGCAGGCTTTAATTTACTTAGGAATGATACTAACATGTTAGAGGATTGTGTACAAAACAGTCAATTAACAAAAACATAAATAACCCAGACAGCACACTTTCTCCTCAGGACATCCCACGGATATTGCGACAGGATATGCAAGATATCCCATAGTGGTCCTATGGTCAACTTGGGATATCACAGAATATCCACAGGAATGCGTAATGTCCCCGCCCGGGGATGTCCTACGGATAAGCTCACACGCATATCCGTGGGACATCCGAGGTCATCCCATGGTAGTCCTCAGGACATTCTCAGGACATATGGGACTACTATGGGATGTCCCTGGGATAAAGTTTGGTCTGGGCCTGAACATAAAAAA